GTCTATTTTCAACATTCCTTTTTCAGTAAGGAAAAGTGCATTTATTTTAAGAGGATACCATTTCACTGTAGCATGTTTTTGGACTTGGGGGCGGGGGGGCACCAGATTATGTAAAGAAAACCCCACCACAACATGGCAGAGACTTGAACCCGGGTCCCAGAAGTGTGAGGCAGCTGCACCACCAGGCTGCCCCTGAATGCAACGCCGTACTGAAAAAACATATTTATGTCATTTTAATGAATGCCGTTATCAGTAAATTTATGAGAAATACTTAAGGCTTTTAAACACTTATTATTTGCAATTATTAAGTAAAAGCTAGAAGAGTCAAAATGTTGAAGATTGTATTTTCTTTGCTCTCATTCGAAATATTTCTTGCACATCCATACTATTCTACCTTTGCGCTGACTGTCACCACTTCGGTATGATGTTCCCTACATCTATAGGTAAACAGAGTGCATCACTTATTCCTTACTGTGGATAGATGTTCATGCATTTATAGATGAAGTTACTGAAACTGAAATAAGCAGACAGACGTACAAATACACAAGCATGGTTTTAAGGATGCGATATATATAAGAACATACATGTCGTGGTGATAATCTATAGATGCTTAGTGACCTCATATTGCAAGGGGCTGTTTGGGCCTTGTGTGCACCTTCTCCTGCTGCTTGCTTCTGGGCATCTCACACGGCTCAGAGCTCTGTAGGGTGGTGTTCCTCAGCCGCTCCTTACAGTCTGCACTGTCCAGAGTGTCCACTGCCATGTCCCCTTTTCTCCTGGGATGGGCCTGAACTGGTGTGGTTATGGGAAATGGGTGGCTGTACTGGTTTTTACTCTTTTTCACCTTCCATCCATTCATCCATCCATCTTCTAACCTTAAACAAAACCTAAACAAATCCCCTGTTGCCTGTTCCAGGCAGCGCAGGACATAAGTTTGGGGAGACTCTCGGCAGGATGCCAGCCAACAGAGTCTGACTTTATAAGTGTTATTGTTTTCTGTCAGTAGATGAGCTGCTGGTGTATAAACATGAACCGTTCAGTTTGTATGTATGTAGCTCTCAGTACTGTAACAGCGACGTCTTAGTATCAGGAGTGGAACTATACAAACGGCCCTTATTTATTTGATTAGCGTGTATGCTCTGATATGTCGCTCTCAATTTATTAAAGATCTTGGCTTTTGAACCACCCTTGTAATGCTCATTGTACCCTACAAAGTAACTTTGCCCCATTCTCCTATAACCATCGTCCAATAGATGTAACGCTTGTTATATGAATTATCGGCTGATTAAGATCATGTTAGTAACAGAAATTAATCACCATGATAACCATATTACAAACGTCTCTTAGAATTATATCTGAAATGAAGGTGTCTGGACAGCCAATATATCAAAATGTAATTATGTTCATTAACCCTTTTTTTCCCTTATTGCTGTCTTTCTTACTGATCATCGAATGGTAATGTAACTAATTTGGAAATTCTTCCATGCCACTAGAGCTGATGAGGCCTAACCAAGTGGCTATAGCCCACGAGGGGGCTGGCAGTGACCATGTGAGATTCACCAAGCAGAAATTACATTTTAATTACTTAGTTTACAATTTACATTCTAATTACAACCAGTTCTCTTCCATCTAAACAGAACAAAGAAATCTGAGGGAATATTTATAATATACCTGAAAAATTCACAGAACCGCCTTGCAGTCCACAAATCCCCATCTAAACCCTGTCTGCCAGAATACGCACCTTTCCGTCTGAGTCACCTACCAAATGATTATTATGATTATTGTGATCGTTTAATTATTGTACATTATTATAATACACACATTTAGGAATTCTAATCATCCACTTTATTGATGATATGAAGCTACAGAACATCCTGAGGAAGAAGAGGCATCCAAACAAACACTTTTTAATGCTGAATTTATATCCGTGATGCCAAAGTGTAGCTGCAGCTTTAGTCACCTGAGTGTCTGTATTAACATCTAGCTGCTGGACTAGTGGTTAAGACACGCAAATACAGATGGACATTTCAGGTCCAGAAAGTAAAAATCCAGACCAAGATTTTGTTTCAACCAACCAGTTGAGTACTCTGTGACAGTCACTCTTTACTCAACTGGTTGGTTCATGGGTCTCAAACTCCAGTCCTGGAGGGCCGGAGTCCTGCACCGTTTTTGGTTTCCCCTCATTTAACACACCTGATTCAGGTCCTTGTGCTAATTACCACACAGCTCTTGAGCTGAATCATTTGTGATGGAACAGGGAAAGAACTAAGTTACACAGGGCTCCGGCCCCCCAGGACTGGCGTTTTAGACACCTGGGTTGGTTGAAACAAAATCTTGGTCTGGATTTGTACTCTCTGGACTGAAATGCCCACCTCTGCAACCGAAGCTGAAGGCTGCTGCTGTAACCTTAAGAGAAGCTGTGTGTGGTGCTTTTAAGGAGCTTTACCGTGATTGGCTGAGGCAATAATACATGAATGTGTGGTGGAATTCATAAGCTGTGCTGATCACAGAGGAGTCTTTCAAATGGCTTTTATATATTAAAATGTAAGCTGCAGGGTTATTAGGAGCTGGGCTGTAATATCGATGCGAGTCCCCCAAACAGCCACGGCGAAGTGACACGTCACAGCTGCAGCTGCACACTGAAGAAGACGTACCATCTGCAGCGTGTGGCAGTAACGAGAGCGTGCTTTACCACTAGGCTGGGGGGCTCACTGTGGGCAGGGGTACTGCGTGGCCGGCAAGACCTTAGAGGCTCCTTGATGCCCGTCTGTCACTCGAGTGTCTTCCCCTTTCCTGCCCTTTGCTCATATTCTACCTTTCCGAATGTACAGAGTTTGCTGGAAGGCGGCTAAACTCAGCGAGTTTATTTTATTCCCTTCTCTTTGGTGATTTTGGCTCCTCAGCCAGTGTTTGATCAACAATCTCCTGTTTCCCGCTGCATCCGTTCATCCGGGAGGCCTGAGGTACCCGCTAACCCCCCCCCATTTTAAAAATGTGCATTCAGCTCGTCACCGGCGGAGAGGAAAACCCTCGATTTGGATTTGTTCCGATGTGACTCAGGCCCCAAGCCGAATGCTCCACAGATGGCCCATGGGAAAAGCAGAACCCCCCCCCCCCTCCCCCATCTCAAGACTACTGTCAGTGCCTGCTGGAGCGCTGGTTCGGTCTGGGCCGAGGCGGGAACGTGCCAGGGCTTCACCTGCGTGGCCTTTCCGGAGGGGCCACCCGCCCGAGACAGGGGAAGGAGCCCCCTGACCCTGACACCTCCCTCACCTAAAAACGTCACACCTCCCCCTCCCCACAGACAGAGATCTCAGGCCATATCATTTAGCATTTGTGTTTGCTAATAATATCCATGCTTTGAATAATGATTGGATTTGTAGATGTAGCATTCTGAATATTTATAACTAATAAGAGAAAATAATCACTTCAGCTGAATTAAACATACAGCAAATAAAATTTAATTAAGCATCTACATAATAATCCATAACAATGCATTTTTGTTGTAAGTGTTGCATGAGCTATTGGTGAAAGTTGTCTATTGTCGATACATTTTGTTGCTAATTATGATAGCTGGGTTCATCTGGGTTCTAAAATAAAAGCCTTGCTGTCTGTAATCATGTAGCGCTCCATATACGGCACTGGCTGCTTATTAAAGGCCCTGGAGCGGGCTGCCGCTTTAGGAGTCGGGCTGATTCCCAGACTGATTACGGCGTGAGTCCTCAGGTCGAGTCTACAGGCAGACGGGACACTATAAATGTAAATGTGTTTTAGAATAGCAGCTCGAATTGGTGCTGCTGTTGCCGCTGTTGTCGAACATTAGCAGCCTGTGTACGGCGGTGGCCTGCAGGAGGAGAAAAAGAGCAGGAGCACTGCGGATGTTGACGTAGGTCAACTCAGAAATATGGACTAAATCAGACATAAATACGTGGTCTTAGTGCCTTTTTTTAGCCTCGCAGGACTTCAGAGAGTGTACTCTGTTTTTCTCTGAGAAGGAGAAGGGGTACGGATGGGTAACCTCCATCGCAGTTACAAGCTGTGTCTGTCCTAATTATCCAGCCCAGACAGGCTGCTTCAAACTCATACCTCGCTGGAAAGGAAGTGAAAACCTACAGAGGTGTCAACAAAGTGACGAGAGAACACAAGCATTTAGAAAAAGTCTCTTCGCCGTCCTCGAAAAAGATCGTAAGTGTTGAAATATGATTTATGTGCCCACAGGTTGTGAGATGGCCTGAAAATGTAATTAGCATGGAGCTCTGTCGGCCTGGAGCGGCCCCATATCCTGGTTTGTGAGTAAACACGCACGGGATTGGCTGTGTTTGATCTGTGTCAGCAGCAGGCTTTAGCAGCCAATCGAATACCAGGCCCGCTTTCCTTTTTTGACTGCCCCGGGTGCCCCCAGTGTTTGCTTTGTTTGGTGGCCCCGAGGCTGTCAGAGGAAACGCACCGTTAGGCCCCCGCGCCGGAGGTCGGCTTCATTAGCCATGCTGGACGCTGCTTCTCCAGAGCACTCGTTTGAGTAAATAGCAGATGCTGTGCTTGCTGGCCATATGGAGCTGCCTGTCTCCCTGCTGAATATTCCCAGGAATGCTAAGCAGGTAGAAGGCTGCAGAGACTGTTGACTTTGCTGCTCCCGTGTTTATGGCGGCAGACGCGTCTCCCCTCCTCCGCGTACCTTTAATTGGGATGTTTTCATTTGACCGAAGTGTGTTCCTGGCGGGGGGCGGGGGGGGGGGGTGTGCCTTCGTCCACCATTTGCGGCTTTTCAAAGCCGGCACGCCACGTGTAACGGAGGCCCCGGGGCCCGCGTGCCACGCCTCCGCAGGCAGCTCCTCTCTCTCGGCATGGGGCCCCCAGCCCTTGCCAGCGGTATGGCTTGTTAGTGTCCCATCTGTGCCGGAATGGGAGCGGGCGTTCCGCGCCGGCGCGTCCCGCTCCCACCATGCAGGCTGTCCCCGCGCTGACGGACCCGCGTCCATCTGTGTGCCCCCTTCCCACAGATGTCCAGCACATCAAGAGGCGGGACATCGTGCTGAAGAGGGAGCTGGGGGAGGGCGCCTTCGGAAAGGTCTTCCTGGCGGAGTGTTACAACCTGAGCCCCACCAAAGACAAGATGCTGGTGGCAGTCAAGGTGAGATACAAGTGAGGGCCCTGTCCCCCCCCCCCCCCCCCCCCCCTCTCTCTCTCTCTCTCTCCCCAGACTCTATTAAGCATCCAGTTTCAGCTGAGGGGCAGGGGTCACGCCTTCCCACCCCTCTCTGCCCCACACTCCCTCAACCCCAACTCCTCCCCAGTATGCATCTAGGATCGCCGATCGATGTGGGTTCGCTACTCATTCCCGACGTGATCGATGAGAGAAACTGCCAGTGGCCGGTATTGCCGGGCCGCCTGGACCCAGATTTCCCAGTGCGAGGCCGCAGGGGATCCCCCCCTGTCATCTTGGCATCAGACCTGCCATCAGAGCGGCCGACTGCTGACAAATGGGTCACCAGCTTAGCTTCTGGAAATCACATGAGTGTCTGATGACAACCTTATCCTCTTGCCTTACGTCACACACGAGGAACATGCTGTTCGATAAGGACGGAGGCTAATATTGCTGGAATTTAGCATCTTCAAACCAGTACATTTTGAGCTTGTCCCTTAACTGTGATGTATCGTCTGGGCTGCCTAACACAGACCTCTGCAGTCATTAACATCAAAATCGTTATAGGGGCAGTGAATCGCTTTATCCAGGCTTAAAGATCTTCAGATGATGTGGTTTGTGTAACCTGTTCTGGCTGGGTTTCGATCTGCACTCTTATATGCCAGTGGTACAACTATCAGCCATTAATTATGATCAGATACCAGCATGTAGAGCCTTAACTGTAAGCTTTTGTAGTCCCTGTGCCCTGTGTCACTGCTCTATGGGGATGAGGCAAAAATGACTGGAAAAAAAATGTTAGTATATAATAATAATAATAATAATAATAATAATAATAATAATAATATAAGCAACAGCCAAATGATCTAGTACAGGGGTGGCCAATCTTATCCGCAAAGGGCCGGTGTGTATGTGGGTTTTCGCTGCAACTCCCTAATTAGGTCACTAATTAGAGGACTGATTGGCTGAAGAGTCCTCACACCTGGGTTTGAACAGCTGACCTACAGGTTATCCCAGAAACCTGCATACACACCGGCCCTTTGCGGATAAGATTGGCCGCCCCTGATCTAGTAACTCCTGAGCCCGGGTGAATTTAGGTGGGGGGGAGGGGGACTTGATGTAATTCTGAATTTGCATGAATCCTGGCGCGGTGGTTACATGGCATGCAGATAGCGGCAACAGCCTGACATCCCAATTTACAGCCGCCCATGGAAATCTCTCGCTCTCAGTCTCTGCATCTCTATCCCCCTGCCTGCTCCCCTCCATTTTTTCTGAGGGACAGTATTTCACGGAGGAGAGACGGTCGAGACAAGCGGCCGCAGCAAAGAAAACACCGATGATGAGCTTGATAAATATTTGCCGACGTGAGGAGACGAGACGAGACAGCGGTCCGCTTCGCTCGCCGTCAATCTCCATCGGGCCACCAGCGCCACTGGACGCGCCCCCCCCCCCACCACCCCCGCTTGCCCCACACATCGCTGCGACGGCTGTGAAACACGTTCCATCCACCATGTGTTTCTGATCGGAATTAAAAGGCCGACGGATCCCTCTGAGCTGCTCCGTTCTCTCCCTCCCTCCTTGTACATGGCAAACATCTGAGGACGAGAACTGTATCCGTACAAATGAGGCTTATATAAACCCGATGGGTGACACACAGCCAAGGCAGCGGTGCTGTGATTAAGCTGCCTGTAACCCTGTAAAGTGTATTGATCCAAACACAAACCCAAGAAGAAGACTGACTCAAACCGTCCTTGGCTTTATTTTGCACAGGGTGGAGACACACTTCTTAAAAACACATTTTTCCTCTGAGTTTACATACCAAAGTTTATCCACACGTTGACTGAATTGTTTTTACTGTTTATTTATCCCAACTAGACATGACGATTAAGGCATCAGAGAACTGCTGACAAAGTCTTCATTTGATGACGGGGCTCTGCATCTCGTTAGAGACCTGTGCCCATATTTATAAAGCGTCTCAGGATGAATCACGCAAAGTGTCTCACTAGGTGGAGAGTTTATCCTACCTCAGGGTAAAGAGCTTCCTACACCCACTCTCAGCCTGGAGTAGGAGTTCATGTTTGAGCGAAATTAACATCACGATTTCCATTTGTGTGGACAAATGGCATTAATGGTGATATTTTGTAGTTCTTTGAAGTTGTTGTAATGTTTTGTAGTTCTCTGATTTTGCAATAATAATAATAATAATAATAATAATAATAATTTTGATTTCTCCTTGTAGGTATGTCTTCACCATGTCTCATAGTAACAAATAATATTCCATCTTTATCAGGCCGATCTCCTTTTGTAAGCTCTGTGTTGAATGTGTGTGCTGGTCTTCGCCTGACCGGCGTCCCCTGGCAGCTCCCGGCGAGTTAGGACAGCTCCGGAGCTCCTAAATCCTGCTCCAGCTGGGAGCACTTTCCTTAAAATTGCGTCACTTTGAGACTTTTAGGCCACTTTGGATCATTTTCCTTCTCTGAGATGCTTTATAAATGCAGCCACTGGATCCTCCTTGTTGATGGATCTCCACTTCACACGCACGCGGGGGTGCTTGTCTATACAGGTCAGGACCCCCCACCCCCGGCCTCACCGGGTAGATAAAATGCCCCAGGTGGAAATGGCTGCCTGGCTATCTGTATGCTGGAGCCTTCATCCATGTGAATCTGTGGAGTGAAACGTATCTGGGGAGAGTCTAATCAAAATCAAACCACACCAGGCTCCAGAACTCAACGATGAAGAGATCAGACCAGTCGCTTGATGAGCATCTCGGGCCAGGAGGACAGATCCTCCACCTGTAACCCTGTTCCCTCCCCCTCACCCAGGAAGCTCTGTGCTTCTCTGGCTCCAGGACCCAGTTGCTTATTGGTTGTAGGATCAGAGTCACTGTCGTTGCCATGGAAATCACCTTATAAATAAAACAAGAGTCCTGCATCCCAGGAAAGATTTTTGATTTCTGAAGATGAATAGTAAAGGCAAATCCGTTTACCGTCATTTTACTCTGTCCTACACACACTTAACTATGATTGGTGGTGCTACAGTGACTCTCTGAGTCCACACTCCCTTGGGTTAGAGTGACACTGTCCACAGTGTCTGCTGAGGCTAGAGCATTTATCTTATTACCGGAAATCACCTGAAATTATTGTTCTCAGCAAAAGCCCAGGGGATAAGCAGTAAATCTCCATGTTTTAAAGGGGGGACAGAGAAGGCCTGGCAGGGCTGAGATTCCCAGGAGATAGATGTGGGAACAGTGTGATCCGGAGGGAGCGAGGCTCCCTGTCTGCACTCTGAAATGAACCATCAGCCCTTATACGGGAACCCTAATGCAGATCATCAGGCAGCTGTCCAGAACCGCTCTCGCATGCTGGTGACATCCGGTCAGAAATCCTCTTTCACTCATCTTCCATTTTCAGAGATGCCAAATGATGGAACTCATGTCTAAAGTGGATCTGAAGTGTTTGCTGCAGTTTCGAGCTCTGCCTGTCCATGAACATTACAGTCATCTCAGCAGATGACACGGTGTACCAGGAACTCTCAATATGTGTTCATCTAGGTCTATTCTTTTTATTATCTGTAAATGAATACTTTTCCTGTTATCGGGGTTTTTGTGTTCCCGATGTAGTCTGGAGATGAGTTTGCAGCCTGCTCTGTTTATGTAGCCATCCCAAGCCTCCGTTCCCATCGGAGGATGCCCTCCTTCACGTGACTGACTGATTCCCGGCTCTGCAGACGCTGAAGGACCCGACTCTGGCCGCAAGGAAGGACTTTCAGAGGGAGGCGGAGCTTCTGACCAACCTGCAGCACGAGCACATCGTGCGCTTCTACGGAGTCTGCGTTGACGGCGACCCGCTCATCATGGTCTTTGAGTACATGAAGCATGGCGACCTCAACAAGTTCCTCAGGTAACTGCGTGGATCCAAGTGGAGGGCGGTTCCGGTCCGACTGTGGGGGGGGGGGGCTTGCAGACTCCCTGCGTCCTGTTTGCTCCGGCAGGGCTGTGATACAGAACCCTAACTAATAGGTCTCCCAGGAGGGGTGGCTCTCTACTAACCATGCCGGCTATACGTGACATTGGGAGTTTTTTCTCTCACATGGGTCATTAAATACGATTAGCAGCCTTAAGGGGGGGGTGGGAGACGGGGGGCTGGGAAACCTGTGGCGTTCCAAGATTTCTGTAATTCAGTGGACAAAGCCGTTATTTCACAGAAGATGGCGAGACACTTCCCAGCAGAGCGAGATGGCGTCAGAGAAGTGAGACGGTCCATTACAGCTCCATTAATCCCAGCGCAGATTAAGCTGTGAAATTGAATTAAGCGGCCAAAGCGCCCTGCCACGTCTCACAAGAGGGGGGTGCTTGGCATCGGCACGCCCGTGAGGCGTGACGTCAGCACCTCTCCCTTCCAGGTCAAACGAAGACGCCTCTGTGTGTCAGGCACCCCCATCCTCCTGCCGCCCCAGAAGGGGGCCGGATTGGCCGGGCTTTTCGGATCATCTCCCACTTTGCTGTGACCCAAAGCGGGTTTGGGTGCTGGGAAGTTTGTCTGGCGTCCTGCCCTGGTAGAGAGGCTTGTTATCCCCAACAATGTACTGGAAATACCTTGTTTAATATACATTTTGTAGCAGGACGTGCAGATATTTGTGCTAATATTGAGGTTCATATTGGCCTTTGTTCCTATCTTAGTTATCTGGCCTTCAGGAAAATGCAGGCAGTCATTTGATACCTTTGACGGAGAGATTATGAGGGTCTGACTGGCTCCTGGTTCAGTGGAAGGGGGGAGCGGGTGGTCACTGATAAAGCAGGAGACCCCGTCTCACACACAGCTGTCACAGTCACGTCAGCAACATGAGTGCAGATCCAAGAGCAGCAGCTCGGCACCTTGGTTCTTGTGGTTCACGGAGACCTTATTCGGCTTGGTTGGGCTGTGTGATAAATCGATATTTGGGCTAGACTGGAATGCTGCTTCCTACAGGCTACCAATCTACAGATGGTACTTACTTGTGCTGCTATGACTTCATCTCTAGTAAGGCAAAGTGGAAATTCTGTGTTTAATTACCCACTTTTGGTCTTTAAGAGGATGGCGGTAGACTTGTCGGGTAATTATAAGAGATATTAATTGCAATGAGTATTCTCCATAATTGCGTTTCTAGGTGCTAGGCTTGTAAAATAGCGAAAGGGTCTTATATTTAAAAAACGTTGAAAGTGCTCTGTTTGTTAAAGTTAGCATTTCGTATAAGATGGTACTCGCATTAGCTAGGATACCACAGGGCATGGTAACACACAAACTTAAAAAATCCTTTCAATGACCTTCAGAGAGATTGATATTAATGGATTCACTTGTGCTGTCTGTCCCGCCTTCATGCCCAACACAACTGACGTGCATGAGTGCTGATGTTAGCTTGGCAGCCATCTATGAATGTCCCCAAATGAGGACTTTAAATGCAGTCTACCTCTTTTTCTAGTACAAAAGCCTTTTAGACAGAGTTTTGCGCAGCAGACTGATTTGAATCCTGACCTCTCATAGCCCAGGGAATGGATGTGGCCACATGACCCGTAGCCCATGGCCTTGTGGGAAGGCCTGGAGATAGCTACACTTTGTGCTGTATCATGTCAAAATGAAAAACGTGAAATAGTCTCGTCGCCCAGGTCGACGTGGAGGTTGGTGTGACCGTGAGCAGGAACTGTGAGGGCGGGAGGAAACATTGTGGTGTTTTACCTCCCTGCAGAGCCCATGGCCCAGACGCCATGATCCTGGTTGACGGGCAGCCTCTGCCCACCAGCGGGGAGCTAGGCCTTTCGCAGATGCTGCACATCGCCACCCAGATCGCCGCCGGCATGGTCTACCTGGGCTCCCAGCACTTCGTGCACCGTGACCTGGCCACCCGCAACTGCCTGGTGGGCAACGGCCTGCTGGTGAAGATCGGCGACTTCGGCATGTCCCGGGACATCTACAGCACCGACTACTACCGGGTGAGCTGCAAAACACACATGCTGACACACGTAGGCTCACCTGCCAGTCAGCTCAGCTCAGAGCTAATCAGCGACTCCAGACGGCTGGAGCAAGCTGGAATTTCAAACTCGCCATCAAAGACGTCTCGGTTGTCTCGCTGACTCGCTGCGACGGGCCGTAATGGAGTCTCGGCCGTGATCAGCAGTTGCTTAGATCACGGCCTCTTCCAGGGCGGCACCCTTGAGGCGTGAAGGCATTCAGCTGAACTCTGCAGGGTTAAATCAGATGATGGCATCGGTGAAGCTGGCCTGTCGAATGTCCGATCATGCTACTAAAATTCATGCCTCAGACACAGCCCCAAGCAATACCTAGCCGCTAAAATGACTCCGGGAACATTCCAGAAAGTTCTGCTTTGGTTCCATTTAGAGCACGGGTGTTTTGTCCCACATTTCCCTCGTTCAGTAACGTTTGGGGGGGCGGTGATTGGCTGATTAAATAAGACAGCGGAGGATCCCGAAGCGATCCGGCCATATGTGTGGGCGTCTGGATTTCGCAAGACCAATGTGAGATTTGCCTAATGAGCCATTTAGCTGTGTGTTAATAAATAGGAAATAACACGGCCTGCACTGGAAACGGCACCAGATATGGAGATAGAACACCAGTATAGTTCCTGTGGGCACGGCCTTCATGCTGTCTGCTTCTGCCTAATGTGTCTTAGGGCTATGGAGCTATGCTGAATGTTGGGTTTAGTTCATTGAAACTCCCTGCTTTGAGCCGAAAAACATGCTCTATGGCTGAAAGATGAGTTTAGCACCCTTGATATGAGCTCTTCAGACCCCAGAAGAGCTTTCAGCCTGATGACATGGCTGCCGCACTGAGCAGAGGTTACGGGTTATGAAACGGTCACCGTGACCGGACCGAGAGGGGGAGCGGGACCGCTGAGGAGGACAGGAGGGAATATGCTGCACACTGGTTGAAGCAGGATAAGCATATGAGATGTTTTTGGATGAAAGCACGATTTGTTTATATAAAATGACCTGTCATCTATAGGGTTTCTGAATTAACCCACCTTGCCTTAATGATACATCAAAATGCAAAGTGCTGCCTGGAGGGAATGGTAAATAAATAAACGGAAAGGAATTCCATGAACCTATATCGAAAGTAGCAGAACCCTGCTGATTAATGTGTAGTGCCTCTTGGTGACTCCGACCCCATGACCCCATGACCTCATGACCTCACTCGGTGTCTGTTCCATGCCTTCTGGCTAATTCCTCCAGGTCTTTGGTGGTCCAGATGTAATTCTGATTTATATATATAAAGTTGTTCTTATGGACTGTGAACAGACTCACTGGACGGCATTGTGATTAGCAATCTCAGGATATTCTGGGATGTTCCGGCAGTCCGAGTGTGCTGTGTAATGTCAGCTTCCTCTGTATAATGTAGACACCATGGGCAAGACGGCGGCAGGGTTAGCATGAAGCATCCACAATGATCAGGAAGAATACTACTTTGAAGAGAAACTCCCTAAAATAGATTCTTGTTCAATATTACAGCATGTTCTGACTTTGTTAAGGTTCATCCCTCATACAAGTAGGATTAGTTTAAAAAGATCTAATCTAAGAAGTGACTGTGACCGTAATGGCCATTGATGTCCCGCCTCTTTTATTTACACTTGCGGTAACCGTTGGTAACCACGCATGTCTTGACAACTGTGTGCTGCTACGGTAACAGAGAAATGTGCCAAGCTCACTTCCTCAAAGCTGGCTTTACGTGACAAAATAATAAATAAGTTCAAGCATACGTCGACCCCATAGCAGATGCAGGGACTGAGCAGTGAATCTGCGACTCGCTGAGCGGAGCTCAATGCCGCGGAGACAGCGGGATGAATTGCCAGGCACAGGTGCGACTGAAAGAAACATCTGTAGCCAAAGACACAGTAAGGCCAAGCAGGAAGCGGACCAGCTATGAGGAAGCACAGCGTCGGTACTTTTCAAGATGATGAAAGTCGTCCACAGCCAGAGTAAAGTAAAAAAAACATTTTATTTTGTTTGATAAATCCTGAATAATTTACATCTACCGAAATATGAAAGATTAATGCTGCTTTGGCATTCAATCAGTCATCACATTTTTGGGGCTAAATGACCGTATTGAGGTCGCATTTGTGTCTGAAAATCCGCATTGCAGTCATATGAATATCAGTATATCTAAATCTATGTGTTGCAGTTACATTTATATTTGATATGCAGCATTGATGTCATAATTAATTCCTGGACTCTTGCCTTCAATAAGGGGCCTGTCAGCTAGCTGAGGTGATTGAGGCTCTATCTCTACCATGAGGTTCCATCCTGTGGGCTTTCAGTCGCATTGCATTGTGCTTCACATGTAATTAGCTGGTGTCTGTTATGAATCACTGGAGATGCAGAGCTGCTCTTGCTGTCTGTGCTCTATGGGACGATTAGTCTGGCTTTTGCTGGCTTAGATGTTGGTTTGCATGCATGTGTGTCTCCAGTTATTAAAGGCCGATACTTTTTTTGCTTGTTGAAAGCACACAGACCCAGCCCTGTAAGCATGTATTATGTTTATATTCTCGCCATGGCAACTGAGCCGAGCAAGCCTCAGGGCACCTGTCCTTCATCATCACTGCAGAGCTCGGCCAGAGACAGGCTATGAGTATGACAGACCGGGCTGGGCGGGTCCCTGTCTGGGACTACCCATTATCTGGTACTACCGATTACCTGGGACTACCCATTATCTGGTACTACCGATTACCTGGGACTACCCATTATCTGGTACTACCGATTACCTGGGACTACCCATTATCTGGTACTACCGATTACCTGGGACTACCCATTATCTAGGTCTACTGAGTACCTGGCATTACTGATTATGTTAGCTATGGGGGGGGGGACACTACGGGATTCCAACAGTCCATTAGAATAGCCAAACCAGTCCTCAAGTATTTGGGATAGAGCAACAATTTGGACTGTCTGGGGTTCTGAGGACTGGTTTGTGAAATACCACAATCAAACCATCATATTTTCAGCCAGTAATGATATTTTTTGCGTTAGGAAATCCAGTATTGAATACCAAATGTATTAACATGGCCAGGATAAACACTTCCTGACAGGTCTCTTTGTAGAAGATCCAGTCATTTCCGTGAGGTCACTGTAAATATTTGAAGGAATTATCTGATATTGACAATGTTTTCGATAAGAAATTGAGCTTACAGTAAATGTATATTTAAAAAACCAGCAGGTGAGATTTAATTATCATATTAATTGAATTAACCTTCAGTTGACTTGGATCTCATTTGTAATTTTTATATGCAGTAGCACAAAAAATATATGTGCAAACTTAAAGTCAATGCAAATATCATATGTAAATATACATAACAAAGCAATGCATTTCACAGCACGTGAAAGTGGGTCTACGATATGAAGTGATGCGATACGATGCAATAATAGCAAAAATAAAGAATGGAATATAATACAAGATAACAAACAACACAATACAATATGAAATAAAGAATACAAGTATAAAGACAGAAAATGATAAATATGTAAGAAGGTAACTAAAGTAGGGGTGTGCAAATAATTAAGAACTGAGTCCAAGGGTGATGGGATAAGCAGCGAGAGACCAGTGCTCCCAGTACAATCAGCAATGTACCAGATTCTTTTGTTCAAAGTGAGGTTCAGAAAGTAAAGAGCAGTGAGCAGAGGCAGCCAATCTCTTCTGCAGCTGGGGTTAAGGGTCTTACTCATTGGCCCTCTGGTTACCACACTGAGTTTTGAACCAATGAGCATCCAGTCAGAGTCCTAGCCCACAGAGCCACACAGCACTATGCTGGGCATAGACCCATGGTGCAGCAGCATTTAGCATGACCGTTTTTAAACCTCTTTGTCGTCTGATGCTCTTTTCTGAGCAGACACTGCATCCCAATAATTAAGAAGGAGGCCATGATGGTGGGAGACTTTTGTCGGCAGTCCTTCTGGAACAGCGTAAAACATACTGACTGATGGCGCTGTCAGGCCTCCTGCGTACATGGATGCCTGCCATGTCCAACATCTCTCTGTCGCTCCTGGCGATGCAGTTCTACAAGAGCTTGTTAGGGTCCCAAACAAGCGGCAGCGTACTCTGAACGGGCAGGAAAAATCTCTTTTGTACTCTATCCTCTTCAAGACTCCTGCTGTCTTTGCATGTTACTAAATAAATTAACCTGAAATAACACTGGGGGCTTTGATTTGAACGTCATGGCGGCACCCTGATGTTCTTAGACCCAGAGGTTCTGGCAGTGGTGTGATGGGAATTCTTCCACAAGCAGCTGGCGCCTTCGTTGGCTTTGAGTGCATTGAAGGAAACACCAGCTGCCTGCCAGCCTGTCCGCCGTCCCCGAGGAAATCACAGCACACCGATGGAGGCCGCAGAGTGGTCGAGGCGCCTTGATCAGCTGACGCAACATGCAGGCAGTTTTTTGGGGGGGGGGGGTTATTTTGTCAGCCTGGGTGTGATCAGTTGCATAGTGGAGACCTCAGTCGCGTCGAAGAAAATTGTATGTTGGCCCCCAAATAGTGAAGCTGTATTATTGACGTGGTAGGTTGGGTTATAAACTACATGACAAACCATTTTAGCAGGACGTGAGCTTCAGATCGGCGTCAGCGTCCACATCGGGAACAGGTTCAGAAACAAACCACAATAGCGTCAATGTCCGCACTGTTAACCTCAGAATCAACATCAGCATCAGTATCTGCAACGAGATAATCACCTCGTCTCTTTGTTATGCTAAAGAAGCCTTCCAGTGTGGGCCGGGCCGCATGCTGATTGAACTCCCTTACTTTGTCCATGCATCTCCTGTCTCCAGACAATAGCGGCTAGAATGAAGGCAAAGCATTGACTGGGAAAATGGGGTTCATTTCCAGTCTTATTTTCCACATTTTCTCATTTATTTTCACCTTGTCCAGCTAATTGTACTGGCTTGGCACAATCTCACATTAGCACGACCTCTGCTAAGGGCCCCCTGTCTCCGCGGTAAGGCTATGGCTAATGTAACCGCATTCACAGCCAGGGCGTGTGGGCGGCGGCTCACCGCCAGGGGAAAAAAAAACACCTCATTTAGATTAATATATGTTTCTCAAGTTGGTTTTATCTATCACGAGCACTGACGCAGCCACCGTCGTGCACAAAGCCGGCCCAAGTGAGGCCAGGCTGCACGGCTTCATGTGGAAGCGTACCACGTCGTTATCACCGCTGCTGGAATGCCGTGCGTTTGTTTGCCGGATCCGGTTGGCTTTGGCACAGGCTGTCAGTCAGGGAAGAAAAGCGAAACTGACGGGCAGGACTCTGTTGTGAAGGCTTCCCTCATCCCCTTTTTGTGTCCCTGGCCTTATCTCCATGCTGAGCATCGCGAAGGAAGGCGCGTTTCCGCGGCTTCTGCTAAACGTCAGCAAGCCAGTCGGTCCGCCACTGTCTGCCGGGGGAGGAGGTGGGCAGGCCCCCACCTGAAAAAAAAACCCAGACATTGAGGGAGGAGGGCGGGGGGGGGGGGGGGGGGGGGGGGGGGGGGGGGGGGGGGGGGCAAGGGGCTTTGAACCTAATCTCCTGTAAGGGCAAGCCGCCGCTGCGATGTTGCCGTGGCAGCGGAATGCATCCCATTACAGGGCCCACGAGACGAGTCCGCGGGGAACGCGGTGGGCTGAAAATACCACGCCCGAAACAATGTAGCACGTGCAATAATCAGTCCCAGGTGCAGCGGCTTTGGAAATGGAGCGGCAGGCCCCACTAGTCACAATGCCGGCGGAATGGCTCTCCAGAGGAGCGGCTGCCGTGTACATCAATATTACACTGTGTTTAATGTAGAGGCAGGTACACAGAGCTGAGGCCCAGCTGAAATATGAAGGGCTGCCGGCGATGCGGTGTGGATCTGGGCCATACTGCGTGTCTCCCTGCGCTGTGCCGTGAGCGCCAGCCGTGCGACGCAGTCTAAATAACAATCTAAAGCTAAGAAATGTAACTATATCTCATCAGTGCCACTGTAGTATGTTGTGGCTTAGTGGCTATCAGTGTATTTCATCAGCTACTTCACAAATAAAGGGAAAGGAAAATCATTCTCATAAGAGTAGCCAGGCCTGACTGAATATGCTATTATATTTTTTACCTTCTTATTCCACAGCTATACCAACACCGACAGTGTAAAACTGATAACCGTAGTAGGCAAACTCAGAAATACATCTGGTCATTGTAAGGCTGAAATCATTCAATACAAAACAATAATTAACGGCATAGTGAGTGTTTTAACAACTAAGTAATACAAAAGACATTTGGGTAACATATGGTAAAATTTAAAATAATCATGTTGCCAGTACAGTCATGCGTCACTTAATGACAGGGATATGTTCAGAGAAGGCAATTTTATTGTTGTGTGAACATCATAGAATGTTCTTACACAAACCTAGATGGAATAGCCCTACTATACACCTAGGCTATATGGTGTGATCATTAGTTTCTTCACATTTAGGTTGACCAGATAATCTATGTCCTGGAGGACAGATGGAGCTGAGACAGGATTTCTGAATTAACATTTCAGTTAAAAGGACCTGGATTTCACTTAATTCACTGAGTTCTTGCTGCATGCTGATTGGTCAGGCTCCTGTCGTGAGTGTCACTGTTAATGTGAAACAGCTGGATAAGTATTTTAATCAAGGAAACCAGTCAAAGCAAAAGAACTGAATGATTTATCAAAACACAGAAGCCTTTCAGTTTTAAAATAGTAGCTAGTGTCCTCCCTGACTTGGGTTGTATGGTCACACTATGAGTCTGAGTATGGCTGGAGGAGAGGCGGAGATGGGGGGGGGGGCATCATTCAGCTTCTCAAGGCATCTGAGAGCCCAGCAGTAGGTGAGAGGCCTGCCAGTGCCTCCTTTGAGAGGCCTGCCTACGTCTCCTTTTAGAGGCCTGCCTACGTCTCCTTTTAGAGGCCTGCCCATGCCCTCTTTGAAAGGCCTACCCATGTCTCCTTTAAGAGGCCTCTGAGAGCCGAGCAGCAGGTGAGAGGCCTGTCCGCGCCTCCGTTGAGAGGCCTGCTCACGCCTCGTTTGAGAGGCCATCCCGCGTCTCCTTTAAGAGGCCTCTGAGAGCCAAGCAGCAGGTGAGCGGCCTGCCAGTGCCTCCTTTTAGAGGCCTGCCCATGCATTCTTTGAGAGGCCTGCCTGCGCCTCCATTAAGAGGCCTGCCCACGCCTCCTTTGAGAGGCCTGCCCACGCCTCCTTTGAGAGGCCTACCCGCGTCTCCTTTAAGAGGCCTCTTAGAGCCGAGCAGCAGGTGAGAGGCCTGCCCACGCCTCCTTTGAGAGGTCTGCCCGCGCCTCCTTTGAGGGGCCTCTGAGGGCTGGAGGCAGCCTCTGTAAGGGGCTCTCATACTCCAGCGGGCTGATGCGCTGTGTATAATGTGCATATCTGCTGCTAGAGACGCTTTCAGGATTTTCCCTTGAATATTCATCGCTGTGTATTATTTACCAGGTGGCTTCTGTTTCTCCTTCCAGGTGGTGTGTGTTGCGCTGCCTGCTCCCACACGTCGGCTTTCACAGGCCGCGGCGAACGTGCCCCTCTTATATAAAAGCCGAATGCATTTTTAACAGGAAGATGCGTTACACAGAGGCAGGAAATGAGGGTGCTTGAGAAACAAGACTGGGCACAATATTACCAGCCATTAATGCCAATTAGAAGGAATAAAGCAGGCAAGGCTGTGCAGTTCTGAATATACTCAGTCTTCTTTAACAAACGATTAGGTGTGGTTACATCCCATTGGTTTATAGATTTACCTTAAGCTCTAAGGTGTGCTTTCCCTTGTAAAATAGTGCTTAACCTGTTAAACTGGGCTCCTTAAGCAGCATGGTGGTAAACAGAGCGGTCCATCGGTTTCAGGATCCACGTCCATGGATGGAATACGATCTCCTTCTTCCTATTTACTGATTCAGCCTCTAGCCTGACCCTTGTAACGTTTGGTATTAATGAGCTCTGTAATTACTATGGAGACCCCACTTAGAGCCCAGCTCATCCAGCGGCCCATTGAAACTTCATCCTTGCCATGCTGCCATGGAGGTGATTAATGCTGCGCGATCGACGGGAATAGGAAATAGATTTTAACGCGACGCGGTGTAATGGAAGCTGAGTACTGTCATGATTTATGTGTTATTGTTTAATCAATTAATGTATGGCTGGGACTGCGAGTGTGTTTAAGTCTCCGCGTGATCGCAGTTATCTGCTTTGTCTCCCGTGTCTTGGCAGCCATGAGCTCTCCCCGCTGGGATCTCCTCCGATGAAGGATGCAGCTCCTTCATGCCGCCTCTTAAATGAGCACAGGCCATATGGAAGACAGTACAAGTTTGATTTTTCCAAATCATGTTGCTCAGATATCGCTTTCACCCAAACCAGCTTAAATTATACGCTGGTTTCAGTTTTTGCCGGCAGTTCTGATGGGAGCTCAGCTGATGGTTGTGAGGCTGAAAACCATCATGGGATTCAAACCTGTAACCTTCCCAGTGCAGTTTTGTCTCTGCTGGTGCCAATACTCCCCCCCCCCACACAATGAGGTCTCCGTGTGCATGCTTGTGACTTTCTTTCCTGACCTCCCCCCCTCTATGACAGGTGGGTGGACACACCATGCTGCCAATCCGCTGGATGCCCCCGGAGAGCATCATGTACAGGAAGTTCACCACGGAGAGTGACGTGTGGAGCTTCGGAGTCATCCTCTGGGAGATCTTCACCTACGGGAAGCAGCCGTGGTTCCAGCTGGCAAACAACGAGGTACGGCACCCCCTGTCTGCAGCCCAGCCAGCAGGAAGAAGCTTCACTCTTCACTTTAATTTGCAGATCCCTTAGGTCAGGTTACGTCCAGAAGCCTATCCCATGCAGGTTATGGGGCAGGAGCGCCCTGGATGGGACCCCTATGATTACCCAGTGGCACAGTGGATGTTGCATGTTCTCCCCCATCATGGGGGTGTATGACTGTGTGTGTGTGTGTGATTGTGTGTGGATTAGGTTTGTTGTTATTTTGACCATTTTTTGGGTCACTTCAAAGATCTGTGAATGCAATCAAAAAAGTAAAAATGTATTTTGTTTGGTTAGTTACGGTTAAGGTTAGGGTTAAGGTTAGGGTTAAGGTTAGGGCTTGGTAGGGGTTAAGGCTGTCATTGTTGGGATTAGGATTTTGCCATTGAGAACTAATGGACTGTCTCCACAAAGATATGAGTACAGGTCTGTGTGTGTGTGGTGGTGGGGGGCTCTGAGTGTGTCTGATCAGGAGAGGCAGGTATTACATGGGTGAACTGATTAATTATCTCCCTGCTTACAACATTGTTCACCCTCTTGATGAGATAAAGACAAATTCACCCTGCAACTGTCACACAAGATGCATCAGCCCATTTGTAGGATCGAGCAGTAAAACACGATTGACGTGCGTGTTGGTATGTGACAGTTGACCGTGTTGTAGCGCTCGCATGGCATTTGAGCTTGTTGAGTAGAGATACACACCTAAACGCCGTCCTGCGGCTGAGCTATGATTTGCTGGCTAGTTTCAGTGCCTCACACGGCTAGAGGTGTGTAACTGGGGGGGGGGGGCAGGGCATGGCAAGACTGAAGTGGAAGACTGTGGAGCAATGTACCATTTCTGTTTAAACATCACATTGTCACAGATAGTAAAATCTCCATGCCTCTAATGGCCGCCCGCTCTCAGTTCTGCCCCGCCATTGGCTGACCGGTTTGGAATGGGATTTTGTGCTGGTCATTATCCAGCTGCTTCCAGACGGCTGAGTTCATTATACGCTCGACTGTCCCGGGAAACGCAGACGCTTACACTGTAACTGCCCCCCCACCTCGTGCGCTGGCACTGCACTCCGTAGACAGTGGCCAGTGGGGGCACTGTGTGGGAACCAATGCGTTTGGGGTGCTGCGCTTTCTACAAATGTGATACTGTGAGCCCCCCCCCATCCACTGCACGGGAGTGTCCCTCTGTGTCGAGCTGCTATCCACCCCCACGCTCCTGCGCTAGGCCAGGCCAGCCCCTGTCAGCTGGCTCTTGGTGAATATCCCATTCCATTTTATCCAGTGGGCCCTCACTGTAAGCAAATAGGATGCAGTTTTATGAGACCAGGCCTTAGAACGCCTCTCTGGCAGCCAGAGACATTCCAAAGCAATGTTCTCCTTTCCAGCTGACTGTATGATCCCAGCATGTCTCATTTTTCTGTGCTGACAGATGATATGAAAGTCTTAATAACCCGAATGGCCTCTGCCTGATGTGATGTGGTCTTGCAGTCATTTGTTTCAGACGGACTATTCTGTACGTTGTTAAAGTTCCAGACGTGTCTTCTCCATTCTCCTTTGTTCTGAATAAAAATATTCTTTTAGTATATGAATCAGTCCAGAGGTTCAGGTTTCAGTCGGGTTCTGTGTTAAATGTATATTGCTGTTTTAGCATTCCGTATAGGGCTCATAGTGCATCTGAAGGTCCACAGCCGTGCGGTTCTGTGTGCGTTTGGAGCGCCTGCTCCGTGCTCAGCGTGCTTCTCTCTACACTTCCAGGGATCAGGCCCAAATCACCTCTCACTGGATAAGCGATAAGCAGCTTTTTAAACAGGATGGGTCGTGTTTCGTCTGAAATCACTAAAAAACAGTTCACTTCAGAGCTGCCGTGTCTTTCTGCTTTGGGCAAACAAGATAAATACTGTGCAAAAGTCTCAGGCTGCCCAAGAAAATTGTCATGTTGGTGTAAAATTATGCTTTCAACTCTCAAATCTTTTGTCTTGTCTGTCAAATCTCCTACATTCATGGATTTTCTGATTAGCATAGCATATTTGGGTAATCAAAAACCAATCAAGTTATTTAACTAATTCAGAATGCTAGTAGTGGAGCTGTGTAACAAATACACAGAATGTCTGGGGTGCCCCTGAAGAGAGGTTTGGGAACTGAAGTGGTGTTTATCTAGCCATCCAACAAGATACTTTCATTTTGTTACTGTTCGTCTGCATGTACAGTATTCTAATGTTAAATTGTTTTACTCCTGAGCAAATATCCCCATACTGCCCAGATAAATAGCTGTAAGCACCTTCTTTGTTGGCCTGTGGTTTTCCCACAGTGCTGTGTACTGTATATACAGCTACACAGCGAGGCCTGACTCATCGCATGCCCAGCGGCCTCTCATTCTGCCTCGCCTTCTCACCTCTGCTCTGTGTCTCCCCCTCAGGTCATCGAGTGCATCACACAGGGCCGCGTCCTGGAAAGGCCCCGCCTCTGTCCGAAGGAGGTGTACGACGTCATGCTGGGCTGCTGGCAGAGGGAGCCGCAGCAGCGACTGAACATCAAGGACATGCAGAAGATCCTCTACGCCTTGGGGAAGGCCACGCCGGTCTACCTGGACATCCTAGGCTAGCAGTGCCTGGGCCACCCACTCGTCCACCTGCCCGTCTCTGGCAGACAGGCCAGCACTACCCAGGAATAACCAAACAACACGTACCTTAGTGCTCTGCTGTCACACGCCTGACATGGGGATGGACCTAAGTGCCTGCTACTCCTTTCCACACACTGGATAATGGTCTTAAAGAAAGACAAAAAAGCACTTTTACATTTTGTTTACGTGCATATAAAAATGTACAGTTATACTGTATGAAGATTGAAATCCTTTTTTCTTAAAAATGGCCTCCAAAATGAACAAAACAAATATAAAAAAGCACCGAAAAACTGGAAAAAAAAAAAAGAGAGAACCAATACTTTTGCATTTGGTACAACAACTTAACAAGATTAAATACCTGGGTGTGTTTTTTTTTGTTTTCATATTCTGTCCAAATAGATATATACTTTTTGTTTTTTATTTTTAATACGTTGTGGTTGTCTGCTGTGTCGATCACAAAAAGTACGGCGCTTTTTGCAGATGACTTAATCACGTTATTGAGTGGGACCAGTGGCAGGGACTTCCTGAAGAAAGCCTTACTGCACTCTGATTGGCTGGATTGTATCTCTGATGCTGGAGATGCGTCTTGGGGGATTTTATTTTTCTGAAAATAATAATAATAATAAAAAAAAATCTGCGTATTGGCGAACTGGAGAACCCTTTAGCAAGAAGGACCCAACAATCAATACAACCTAATTTAATAATTTAAATGTATATACTGTAAATTCTGTGTCACAAATTATGTTAACTTATTTCTTTTCCTGTTTAGGTTATTTAGTTTGTTGTGATGTTATGGTGAGTTAATCCTAGAATTGTTTTTTTTTCTTTTTTAGTTTCTCGACTTTTTAACATGATCATAGAATGTACGTTTCCTTCTTTTTAATTGAGCAAGGACACCAAACTTCTCATCATCTGTAATCCTGACGGAAGAGAGTATGAACTGAGGCCGGAGAGCCGGTGAGACGTGTCACAAAGACGCCGGTGTTTTCCAGGCGTTTTTACTTTTTTCCCGCCGATGTGGAGTTGGTGGGAGGCGCGGCACGTCTCCTCACTGTATTCTCCTCGCACGTCTCCTCACTGTATTCTCCTCGCACGTCTCCTCACTGTATTCTCCTCGCAGAGGGTAACACTGGCGCAGGAGGCCTCTGGCCTTTCAGACTCACAGAGGAAGGCGTGTTTCTGAACATGTCATCAGGACCGTCGAAGGCATCCCAAGACTTAACCCTGATTGTCCGTCGCATTTAGAGGAAGCTCATTCGGATGTCACGTGGTAGTACACAGTCCATGTTCCCCACGTTCTGCATTCCACAGTGGTCTGTGTGTCATTGTCACCCATCCTCAGTGTTTGCCTGGGAGGTGTTGCGATGGTGTAAATAGCCCTCAGTCCACATCGAGACCCAGTAACCGGATTTCTAAATATTATGTGGCACGGTTGCAGCCTTTGCATTGGATTCCTTTTTTGTGAAATGCAGATTTGCATTAATACAGGTTTTAAATTAATGGTTATTATAATTATTGATTTCTTATTATTAATGTAAGCAGAGTGTCACCTGTTTTCATCCTGCCAAAAATAGCACGCTTTCTCCAGCCTTTCTACAAGATGCGCTTTAGAGAGTGTAAACATGAGCTGTACATGCGGCTTCATCCACCTGCGAAAACCATGCAGGCTGAAGTCGACAGAGCGCCGCCCTTTAGGTCCCCCTCTGTAAGCGTGCTAGTGCCATCACAGTATTATGTTTACTAAATGTCACTGACCATTAATTTAGATGAACAAAAATCACTTTGGGTTTTCAGATGAGGCCAGTCCTGACATCACCATGTCCTCTGGAAACACAGTGCGGGTGATGAGTGTTTAATAGGTGTTTGCCTCGCTGTGACTCTTGCTGATACTCCTCTCATGCGGCTCGGCCTCACGGCTGTGCCTGTGTGCCCGACACTGTGGATCTGAGTTCCTGCAGTGACTGTGTCTGTTCCTGTTCCTGCCAGGCCTCAGAAAGGCCCGCAGCATACAACCAGACCCTGTCTTAGCCTTTCACCCCCCCATCAGTATATTATAAATAAAGAGTGCCCCCGCCCCTTACGCGGATAGTCGGTGGATCCTCTCCACCATGTGCAGGTTCTTCTGGCCCTGATTCTAAGGGGGAATCGGGGCTGTGGTCCAGGACGACAGGGAGGGGAGGGAAATGTTCGTGTGAGATAATCTGCTTCTGCCTTTCATATCCCAGCATCCTGTCTCCTCGCTTTCATTCGCGGCTCGACTGTTTAGGTCTGTCCACGCCTCCCCCCCCCCCCCCCCCCCCCCCCCCCCCCCCCCCCCCCCCCCCGCTGCTGTGGCTCAACTCTCTATATGCATGGAATCCAGGCTGCGGTGGATGTAAGAATGGCTGTAGATCAGTTTTCTGACTGTTAAGGTACCGGCAGTATTTGCATTTCAAACGGGTATTTTTTTGTGACGAGTCGCTGACGTTTGTAATTGGGCAGTAATCTGAGACTTTCTTTTACATGCTTTGATGTCAGTGATTTAGACCATCTGGATGGATTTGAGGGCATGATTGCTGTGTTTTATTCGACCATATATGTGATCACTTGTTAATTTGGATTGAGCTCATGCTGGGTTGCAGCTAGTGAGGGCCTGTGTGGGCTCGTCCCATTCGTGGCGCCGGCGTTCGCGGGGCCGGCGTTCGCGGGGCCGCCACATTTCCTCTATGGCTCCATTGTGCTCCCAGGACTCAAGGCTTGAGTTTATGGTGTGACAGCTCTGCATGCCCAGGAAGTGGCAGCCACTGGGCCCTCTTTGGCTCTCTTTCCTGGCTGAGGCTTGGAGGAGGAAGCAGGGGCACCTGTGGCGTGGAGACGAGGGCAGAGTGAGAAGCAGCGCCCCCGTGTGTCGGAATCTCGATCTGCACGCACACATACATCACAGAGCAGGAGAACTTAATAGATCTCTTTGTATCTCCTTCTGTGGGATTTACTTAATATTATTTTCATGGACTCTATTATGGATATTGTGTTATGATAATGTATTATGATTCCCGCCCAATCCGCAAACCACACAAAAGCATTTTCTGCTGTGAATTTTTATGGGAAAGTTAATTTAGTGAAACAGTATTTTATCCAATAGCATTGTAGCCTCATACCTCCAGGGCTGGGACTTGTGTTCCCATCTCCCAGGCTCCCCCTGTTTGAGAAGGATTTCTACACTGGATAAGCATTAAGGAAGATGAATGGTTGTGGTTGGAATTATTTCTTCCTCTTTCTCAGAGGTGATGACATCTGGGTTGAGATACCTGGTAGCCTGTTTCGAAAAATGGCCAGACTTCGAATCTGTGACTCACATGTTTCCTCGACGATGCTATTCCCTTTGATTCCCAAGAGAACGGCCTTTACTGGGGTAATTCTGCTACCTGTACTTACTGTTTAAGCTCATCTGCAAAGAAAATCAATAAATTAATTGTGTCTGAGGGAGAATCGCCGGCTTCTGGGCGGTGTAATCAAAACAAAGTGAGTGTGACAAGATGGTGGCTCAGAACCAGCCCCCCCCCCACCCCCCCAGAAAGGTCGCAGCGAGTCTAATGACTTCACCTTGCTGAAATGGGTGGAAATTATGGGTGAAATGAGTTTTCCGATCTTTAGATACCCTCTGAATATGATGGCCCATCTCCGCTAATCCCCCAAGGTCAAACGGTCTCTGATGAAGGTCGCAGGTCTGTGGGTCGCAGCTCGAAAGCACTGGCCTCTGACGGATTGCAAGATGCCAGCCCCGGGCCCCCTCTCTTCCCATGCGCGACTGCTCCTGCAGTATGATGGAGGGTTTAAGGCTTTAATTGCGGTAAGAAGGGACCCGGTGGCTCGGACTGAAAGGCTGCAGCTGAGTCAAGTTCTCTTGCGCCTGAGGCCTGACCTCTCTGGGTCCGGCTCCCTGTGATCCAGTTTTTACATTTCAGGCTGGCAGAAAAACTCTGACTGCTCTCCTTGAGAACATGATTGTATCCACGAGTAGCTTGGGGGAAGCAACCTTTTTGGATGAATGGTAATACACCACAGCCATCTGCCCCGACCATGTCATATATTATGTAAGCATTTGCTATAAACCTTCCTTGACTTAGTGAGATCCTGCCAAAAGTGAATTTTCATGATTGTATTCTGATAATGTACAGTCCTTATAATATACTGGACTCATTTGTATTTTATGCAATCTAATAAGTTATTCTTGACAGAAACATAATTTTCAGAAAATGGGAAAATTGAGAACTAATATGAAGTTACACCTACAGCAATTTTAATAATATCACAGTAGGGTCTGCATTTGTAAGGTCAGTCACGTGAGATTCAGTGACTTCAGCAATGGGCACGTTTACTGTGTGTTTTAAGCACACGTGCATTTGCCTGTGGAGGGGGTTTGAGTTGTAGAAAAACACAGTTACGTTACAGCGTTGCCAGTAGGAGGTGCTGCAGGGTAAACACTTATTTGGATCCAGGAAATGAAGATCATTTCCTGAAACAGACCGCAACCTGAACTTAGAACAAGGCCTTGTCACATGATTGGAGAATTCCAATTGAACTTTTAAAGACAGATTTTGTTTTGGTTATTCGCCAATAATTTTCTTTCTCTTTGTTAATACCAGCTAATCTTTATATATTTAAAGAATAGTTAGTAATTTCATATTTAATTCAGTATAGTTGATTAAGAGTGACCTGCCTCCACATACTAGATAAGTGGTTATGGAAGGTGGTTAGATGTTAAGATGTGAACCTGGTAAGGAGAACAGCTGCTTATGTTGAGGGAATCACACTTTTGATGAGGCTGGAATCTCATTCATTTGGCAGATGTTCCTGCCCATAGTGACTCACACAGCTTTCGTGGAAAAGTTGTAGTACAGTGTAAAATTAAGCAACTATTGTAGGAGAAAAAAGCTTCAATTTCCTGAGAATTGTAATAAATCCAGGGGTTTATATGTAAGGGATACTTCAAAAGGAACCAAGAATTTGAGCTTTATGCAACTGCTTTTGGAAAAGTCAAATCGTGAATCGAGACTCAGATTTGAAAACATTGAAAATGACTAGGAAGCTGCTTCTGCTCGCTTAAAGCAGAGTTGCACCCTGCCAAGTGACCGGCCACATCAGCACTGTTACTAATCCCTTCCATCTTCTAGAACTGTCAGTCATTTCTCAGCATATATTGAACCATGCAGTAAGCAACTGGACCCAAGCTAAACAGCTAGCAGGCTTAGATGGCTCACAGTGGCCGCATTGCAGTAAAGCAGGACGTGGACCGATCAAAATGGTGAAAATATTTAACCAAAGTGAGCTTAAATCTGCCATT